ATTAAAAAGCAAATATCAAGTTAGAGCTCTGAGTCTTTGTACCAACAGTCGTGATGCACGCGGGCACATGAATTAGAAAACAAGCTCAGCGACCCACCACGTATAAAGCTGTTTGAACACGCTCTAAACACCAATATGTCGTCTATCAGCTAATTTTCTCTCTTTTCTGGGCCAGCGTGAGAAACACTAACGAACAGGTAAACTGATTGAATTACTATGACGTCACGAATCGTGTGATTGGTTCACACTGATAGGTCGACTTTTAATTGGCTCAGGCAGAATGAAATTAGAATGAGAAAAATAATTAGTGAAATTCATAGAGAGAAAATTGACTGACTAAAAATAAATATAAAATTGTCATGTAAAAACGATTGAGTATTGTCTAGGTAAGAAATTACAGTCATTGTCTGCTTGAGAATGAGATGAGAAGATGAGAAGCCGCCATATCATGTGGCTTTCTAAGTCACCTTTTAAAACATGGAATGAGCGAAAGACAGCCTTAGGATTTGCCAAGGAAATAAGCAGCGAGTTCATAAACGCCTTGCTACACAGCATTTCGGAGGAAAGTAAAAAAGAAAGCACCCCTTGGCACCCGGGAGACCGTCACACGAGGAAACCTTCACGATCGATCACAAGCTTAATCCCGTCAAGTTTTTACTTACTTTTCTTTCCCGGTGAAAATAGATTCAAAGATACATTTCTCTAAAATTTAAACTTGGTATTTTCTATTCTTTACGCGTATTTTGACACTGTACATATTTATTAAACGTGGAGCACTTTTCCTTTGCCGAATCCTTTCTTTGAGGCCGGTGAATGACACTGACAAAAGTTCAAGGTATCCCGTCTCTTCTTAGAGCGTTTGCACGTCAAAATGAGCGATTCCCTGTTAATTCCATCGCCGTTGTACACTTATGCTTCCAGGAATGTAATTTTTGGGGCTGATATTTCAGCCGTGAATTTGGTTGTATTGTGGCAGCCTTACAAATTCTTCTGTTTTGTCTTTGGTTGTGCTCCACACACAGAAAACGTCGTCATAATACCTCTTCCGAACTAGCGCTGTAGTTGCGCTCTGGGCGGTAAATTCCTTTTCATTTGTTTTTTTAACATGAGTATATTGGCAAGAGCAACCGTTTTGGTTTTTAATGCCGTTCCGTAAGTTTGTGAGGAACAACAATGAGTTTCCAGAGAACAACAAAAACAAGTGCGCGCAAAGCACACTGGTTAAACGTAGCTCTTCAGGAAGTAAGGAAATCATCTTCTGTTAATCTGCAGTTCGAAAAGAGATTTTCATGTTCACTGTCGTTCACTAAATATAATAACTAATCAAAAAGTTGAACGCTTATCATTAACATTTCTTGACTATTCCCATTCGGCTTAACCTTCCCTTTTTTTAAAACAAACTATAAATCTTTGGAAACAATCGTTTAGGATTGATTTTATTAATAGCTCAAATGGGTGTAAAAGCAATAATCTTAATCCGTAAATCGAGTTTGACCTTTTTCTCGCTTCCTTTGGCTTCTCACAAGTGCAAGCATCTTTCTTACAAGACAACTAAGAGTTAAAGCGATGAAACCTCAATTTCCTTCAATAATTACACAAGTCAGTTATCGGACAAATCACACTCAGAATCATTGTGGGAAATACGTCACGATATCTATTTAACCGATAGATTCCATGATACCGTGCGTCTGTTCTGTAATAATAGATCAGAGATGACGTAAAAATGTGGTAAAAACGAGAAAGTGGCTCACGAGACAAAGCTGCCTGTGTCACTGATCTTTTTTGCCACATTATGACATCTTTTGAGATCTATCACTTTTCAGAATTGCGGCAAAATGGAATATATTTGTTTCCACAGAATAGAATGAAGAAGTTTAAAGATGGAGATGATTATCAGGGATCACAAAGAAAACGAAACAACGATGGTAACACTAAAAAAGAAACCCACACCGTTTGTAACTTACAAATTAAACACTAGTTCATCTTGTTTCTTCCTCGTACTTAAGCGTTTCAATTTTCAGTTTTGCAACCTTCTGAGAACAACTGATGCGTTCAGGTGCGTAATAATTTGCTAGGAAAGATAGCCACTGGTTAAGAAGTAATTAGGCCAGGTGTCTCTCGCATCAATTAAGGTGTTACCTACTTTAAAACTGACAAAGCTCCTACAGGGAGTGAGAAAGAGTTTGTAAAACGCCATGTGACCGTAACTGGGGTCATGGTTCTAACGACTTATACAATACAAAATAACAAAATTTCTTCATGGTATTGCACACTTGTGTCTAACACTTCTGTTACGGTCATGTGACGGTATGTCAGTTCAGTGTCGACCTCTTCTATCACGATCACGTGGAGATCTATCGCGGCGTGGCGGTGAACGGGATCTATCCCGGCGTGGAGGGGATCTGGATCGGCGACGGGGTGGAGACCTGGATCGAGAACGACGAGTGTATGGAGGCGAGGGTGAACGAGACCTAAAATCCAAAACAAAATCGTTGATTTCGTACTTTAATTTGGATCCATTTATTACTCCTAGGGGTAACCCTTTCACTACGAGGGAAAAATGACGATCACGGACACTCACGTTCAAAGTTTTTTTACGAGCGTGAGACATAAAAAAATTCTAAGCTTCCTCAAGGATACACCTGATTTAAAGCTTTCCGTGCTTGCAAGACTGGTCTGTAGAAGAGATGGAGAATCCGCGCTCTCTGATAACGGTATAAATTGGGCAAAACCAATACAACTACAGGATACTTATAGAACCTCTAGCGTAACATAGAGTGTCCCAGGACCTAGATATTGCACAATCTTAATATTCTACTGTGATTTGAGCTTTTTTCAATTCATAAAAGGTTCTTCGTTCTAAGTAATAAAAAAATCTAAAATATCAAAGTAATCTGACAATATTTAGGTTAATGGACAGCTTTTTCTACTAAAATTACTTTGGGGGCCAAACTTCCCATTCTTCAACGTTTAAGAAGAAAAAGAAGCACAACTTGGCTGTAACTTTTAGGCTGCTGCTATGCTTTTCTTGTATGTATATCTATGATTCATTTCAGAGCTCAAATGGAAAGCGAGTGTCGTACACACCAGGAATAGAAGAGAGATGAAGTCGGAGAACAAAGGGGATAAAATGAGAATCTTTTACAGAACTGAGTTTCATGGGGCCTTATTTACAGAGACTAACGGAACCGTTGCAGTGAAACTTTACTAAAAAGTGTATGAACATAATCAATAAGGAAGAAAAATCTTAAAGAAAATCAAACTAAAGTGATCTTAAGGACAGAGACATATCATCACACTAAAAGAGAGCCGGATGATTGGATGCAGTAATAGTAAATGCAATGAAATCCGTTTATTACTTGAAAAGCAGTGTTTTAAACAGGGAGTTTTTGGTCTGTACATCAATAATTTCCCAAACATAATTTTTTTTTCTTTAAGGTGACCAAATTGATAATTTTTAAGCTTTGACAAGGAGGAATGATTGTAGAACACAACGTTTCACATAACAAATCTTTGTGACCGTTTCTTATTTTTACAAACCGTGGTGGTGTTTCTTTTCCGCCAGGAGCACCAGCAGCACCAGCACCTCCAGCACCTCTAATAAATAAAGATAAATAGATAGAAATGTTCACTTCACATGCTGTGGCTCGATCTGGTTATTCATTTTTTTCTCTGCACTTAGTGGCTGAGAGGATGGGGCTTTAAATAACATTAAAATGCATTGGGTTAATTGAAAAGATAATAATAAAAATTAATATCAAATAGGAAATAACAGGGGTTCTTAAGTATAACATCAAATTAGGACTTGCCGCACAGCTGTCGCAACAAGACAAATTAAGGATGCTTTTGATAGTACCAGTATGCAGGTGAGTGTAGTAGAGTCTTGTCAATTTATATGCAGGCAATATTTTAGGTTACAGAATACTGTTGGGGCACAAATTGTTTGGTAATGACATCGAGCCCCCTAATATGAAATACAGAGGTATTTCATATTGAATTTTGCAAGCAAGTTAGCAGAGCCATTTTTTGCAGATAGATAGATGCTGGGTGTCAAATCAAACCTAAGCACCATTGTTCCCAATCAAACCTGCAGTTACTCTTACAGTGCTGAGAAAGAAGTACGAGGGCTAGGAGACAACTCTTCATCAAACTAGTACTGTCACAGAAAGTTCAAGTGTTCAGAATTTAGTGAAGAGTCTCTTAACTGTGTATTGAGTTTAAGTTTCAAGTTTGGATAGGAATATTCAATCATTGTACACAAAAAAAGAAAAAGAATAACACATACTTTCTCCTGTTCCGCCGGTTACGGCCATACAGCTCTCGTCTGTATAAAGAAGGTAAACACTATTAGTAATATGTGTGTTGTAACCAACGTGACAGTGATGCTACAGCAAATATCACTGGTTGGAAAGCTTTTAAGGAAGCAACCCACAATTTTAGGAGATTGATGCATGTATTTTACACTGAAAAATTAATAGGCAACACTCTACATTGATAAAAAATTTTTTGAAAAAAAAAAAAAAAAAAAAAAAAAAAAAAAAAGAGAAAAGCACAGGATTTGAAGCAGACAATGATTAAAGGAGCTCAAAATGATGAAGTGCTGGAAACCTCTGAAAACACCCTTTTTCTTGTAGCTCAGTGGAAAGACTGCAGGGTTGTTTGTCATTGTTTGTAATTAGAGAACAGATCTTAATGTTGTTTTCATCTCAGTGTGGACACTGAGATTCTTCTTTGGTGTAATCATAACAAGTTTGGTGGCTCACTATTTGAACAACACATTTTTAAAGAACACGCAGCAGATAGCATATTTTTTGTTGATAAACAAACATCCTGTACCCATTACTTGTTTTTGAATTGAGAGTTTGGTAACTTTCAATTTAAACTCAAACCATCCAATTATTAAAGAAGAGAAAAAAAAACACACGAAGACTTCAAATATAAGAATGTTCTTGCAGTATATGCACCAGCAAACTGTTGACAGCCAAATCACCTACATTTGA